TGATTAAATCTTAGATACCGACATAAACTTCTTCTAATTTTAAAATTATAATAAATTTATCTCCTTCATTTTTTGAATTTTTCTTTTTGAGAGTTTTTACATAAATTGTATGTTCTTACAATTTGTTTTTCTTTATCATCATTTATTTGTTGTTATTTCATGGTGACAACTTAATTAATTTGTAGGTTCAATCAAAGGAAATTAGTATACATATAATCTACATTGTTTTAAGGTGATTCCCATCCATACGTCGACGAAGGAGAATGGTGTTTCTTGTACACAAAAACATAAGAGACATCAAAGTTGTCTCTTACATCTTATCCAATACATATAGAAATGATGAAATCTCCTATAAAAATTGATGGTTGTTAAATGATGGAAATTCTAAATTTAGTTAAGGGTGATGAAGAGAAGGAATATAGAATGGACACAATCTCAACATCAATATATTCTTTATTTTTTTCCATAATTATATGATAATATGAAAGGGATCTTGGACAATTTAGATTTATAATGCAACATGTTTGATGTGTTCTAAATTTATTTTAAATCATATCGATATGAGAAAATGGATGAAGCGAATTCAAATGAAGATATGATCGAAGTACTTGTGATCAGTGCACAAAGTGGCAAAGGTATGTTATTCCCTAAAGGTGGGTGGGAACATGATGAATCTATGGAAGAGGCGGCTGTTCGAGAGACGCTCGAAGAAGCCGGTGTTGTTGGCAACATCGAAGTTAGTACATGTATATCAACTCTTATTATTGTTATTCCTCTATTTTAACACTACCCTTTTGTTGTTTTAACAGTGCAAATTAGGGAAATGGTCGTACGAGAGCAAGAGGCGAAGTGCTTTCCATGAAGGCCACATGTTCGAGAAAAACACCGGACTAGGAAATGGGTACATAACACATCCTAATTTCTGTTTTATCATTCTAATCATCACCAATAATTGTTAGTCTTGATTTGACATAGAACATATTTAAATTTTCATCGAATTTTAAGCACCTTTTTATTTATTATATGAATAGTACGAATACAATATGTTATATTAAAATGATATATGATACACGTACATCCATTTAAAATTAATTCATATCAAATTTAAGTTGGTATTAAACTCTTAAAATGAATATTAGACAGAGACAGGGCTACGTTATAAGTCATAACCCTTCCAACTTTAATGGTTTAATTCAGTTATGACTGTATCCTAGTGCTAGATGTAGTTAACCTAAAAGGTCTACACAAATGTGTGTAGGTAACAATCTCTAAAGCTAAAGAAGAGTGCCCACATTTGTGGATGAGGGAAGCTTTAGAGGAGTTGGGTACATAACAAATGTTTGTTTCTTTGGATTTGTGAGATATATAATTCAACCTAGCAAGCCACTTCCACTATAGGATACTTCCACCTGCTTTTCCTTACATTCTTTCTCACGGTGCCAACAAATTCTTTCAAGAAACACGAAAGATTGAAATCTCATCTACAAACATTTTTTCTTTTTAAATGTAAAAAATTGTATTTATTCGTTGAGTTTTATATAACTATGCATATGCATATATATTACTTCAATTCACGTTACAAACAGATTTAAACTAACTCTAAATGAATAATTTTTTCACACCTAATTAACTGATGTTATCCAAAAACTTAATAATGGTATATGAAAATATACGTTAGACTTACAACATTTATCGAATCTAGTAATACTTAATGGTGCTATCTTAGGATATACACTTTTTTACTCGTAACTGTATTTTTACTTTTTTTTTCTTTATAGTTATTACATTGTATAAAAATTAGATAAAAGCTAATAGAATAATAAAAAAAAATTAAATGAAATTAATATATGAATTTAATGTCATAAAATAATTTTTTAATTTTAAAACAATATAGAGTAATATTTGAAATTTGACATATTTAAATATTTATTTTTGGCTTAATGCACAATTTCACTTTCAAAGTATATATATATTTCCAATTGGCATCATGTTTTTCATTTAATTTACTCTTCAAAAAATTATTTTTGTCTTATTTTTCTCTGAATAAAGGATGACCAATAACAATATGCAATGTGATATGTTATTATTTGATGTTGCCAATTTATTGGATAAAAATGATAGTTTAGAGACAAATTGGGTTAAAAAACAGTTTAGGATGCAAAATGAGAAAATATTATATTTAAGGGGCTAAATTATGAATACACCAAAAGTTTTTCTTAAATAACTATATTCCCTTGCCTTGTAACACAAACCTTTTTTAGACTGTTTTACTTTGAGATAGACGGAGGCTGTCACAATGGCCACCGTCAGCGTCGGTAGAGACCGTCTTTTCGCTGCTATCGGCAGGTCTTATAGTGAGTTTCTAAATTACTAACCTCATATTTTCCCCTTTTTTCGGATTTTTATTTTAGCATCTAACGGAATTAAAAAAATTGCTCAGCTCAAGAAGAGTTTGACGATCTGTGTTTCAGTTTCGGGATCGAGCTTGACGATGTGGTGAGTGTATTCTTACGATTTTTCATTGGAAAACCGTGGATATCTATTTTTTTTTTGAAAAAAATGGGTCTTGCTACTGTGAACCAGACAACTGAGAAAGCGATAATTTCGAAAGAGAAGAATTTGGAAGAGGAAAAACCTAGTGCTGATGATGAAATCATTTACAAGATTGAAGTACCTGCTAACAGGATTCCATTGCTTATCTTTATAAGATTTTATTTGTTAATTCGATAGAACTGAACAATGTATTGTTGTTAGAAGCTGCCTTATTCCTTATAGCAATTTTGTTGCTTCTCGAATTTTGCTTATGTGTTCACTCTTAATTTTATTAAGACCATCGTTTAGGTAATTGTTAGATTCCCTTGCAAAAATAGTTTCAACTTTAGTTTAACTAAGTTGGACTGACCTGGAAATTGGAGAGAATTACGTGGAAGGAAACTGCATAGTTTTACTCGTATTTTTGGTTTCTAATTTAAGTTGATTTAATAATAAAAAAAGTAGAAATGTTAACGAAGGTTTTCTTTACAGGTATGACTTTTCAATGAGCATGAGAAGATACCTAGATACACAGTTGCAAAGATTTGTAAGGAATCAATGCTTAAAATGCATGTGAGAAAAGAGGTAATTTTGAAGGTTGAAAAATTGTTTTCGGGTATTGACATTCTTTAGGGTTTTACTGATACCTTATTCATTTCCCTTTCCTTGCAGACATCTCTAATCCGTCCCTTTGTTGTTTGTGCGGTTTTGAGGGACATAACTTTTGATGAAGCTAGCTATAACAGCTTCATTGATCTCCAGGATAAGCTGCACCAAAATATCTGCAGGTTTAATTTGAACCTGCAAAATAAAGTAGCATGAGCTGTAAAAATATGATTGATTGCTTTTTTTTTAATATCTTATGGAAAAGGGGAATATTTACATGCATTAATCAAAGTCTGAATGGCTATAGTTTGTTTCAGTGCTTGGGGGTGTTATGTGGTTTATTACACTTTGGGTTGGACCTTTGTTGGCATGACAGGGAGGGGTGAAAAGTAATAAAAAGGCGGAAACTGTGCACACATTTTGTTATAAAGCAATATGCATCAGCCATCAGTTTCTTCATGTATAGAAATTTAATTAGAGAGACTTTGTGTTTGGTCCAGTGGTATCTGCACTCAGCTGTTGAAATGCATCTTTTGAAATGAGCATCCATTTAGAATTGTTCCAGAACAGAAACTGATATCAATTGGGGAGTAGGATTCTTGCTGTAAAGTATATTTGATAACACTTTACTGTTGTAATATTTTTGATGTAGACAAAGACAACTTCTGTGTTTTGTCACCATAATTCAAAAATGATAAATCTAGAAAGAATTTACAATTCTGGAAAATGAAACTGCCAAAATGAGGAAATGACTGCTAATGTTGAAATGTTACCCTCAAACTTGTTTATAGTAACCTTAAATTTATGTAGTGTTCGGAATTTTTTTCTTCCATTTTCGACTTCTTAAGTGTTGATGGCTTTGAAACTTTCTAAAATAAGTATCCAATTATTATTGTATAAAGGTTTTGCCTTTTTATTTAAGTTGTCTTGCTTACATTTACTTATTCGTTTAGGAAGCGGACCTTAGTTGCTATCGGGACACATGACTTGGATACATTACAAGGGCCTTTTACATATGAGGTGGGCTTCCTAATAGTCTAATTCTTATTTATAAATAATCTCTTGGAATTTTTTATGGATTAAAAAATGGTGGCCATAAATAGTTGAAGATGCTTTAGATCCTCTGTTGGAGATCAAACCTTGGGGGGGGGGTGAAGGAAAGCTTCAGCCCAAGGCTGAAATCCAGTGCCTATTGTTAATTTGGTCAAATATAACCTGCGCAGTAGATAAGGGATCTTTTCATTTTAGTATTTTTGTTGGCTGACAGAGGTGTATTTGTTATTTGTTTGTTTATTTTGCATCTGCCCGGTTGTTTATGGTCAAGTTGGCAATGTTGGGAATAATTGTTCTCTGGCTTGTTAATTGATAGGGTAATAGTTTCAATTAATAGGTTGCTCAAACTTCTTCAAGTTGGCAATGTTAGCAATAATTTTTTTTCTATAGTTTGTTAATTGATAGGGTAATTGTTACAGTCAGTATAGTTTGCTCAAACTTCTTTGGTTCCTTTTTGTTTTTCTCTTCCTTACTATGTCAAAGTATCAACAGAAGATGTACTTTTTGATAAGGAATTATGGAGCAAATGTAAAGTTTGCTTTAATAATTTAAGATCTAGTAATCATACAGCCTTACTAACTTCTGACTATCACATTCTAACTTCTAAGCAATTATTTAAATATTTGTAGGCCCTGCCACCTCCGGAGATAAATTTTGTTCCATTGAAACAGGTATTATTGTTTTCTGATGGATACTATTTTCCATGTACACATTGACTAGATTATCTGTTGTTACCTTGCCACTTTAATTTCTATATGATCAAGTTTTTAGGAACTTAGTTTATACTAGAGAGAAAATGATTATTATTGTTTTTTTGTTAACTTTTAGCGTTTTCAGTCGGAAATTTATTACTGAATGCTCAAGATGATCTTGCTTCTATTATTATTAAAACAGCTAAGGCCCCCCCTTTTTTTAAGGTATTATTTGAATTTAAGAACTGTTTATGGAAATATTTGCCTTGCTTTAAACTCTTGGCCACATAATGCTTAGATATTTTAGGAACAAAGCTTCTTAAGGGTGCCTTTCTGTTGAACTACTGTGGTTTTCAGGGATTGCAGTTAGTCTTTACTCTTTACTTTAGTGCTCTTTTGTTGATCATCTGCACACTTCTACTCATTTGAAACCTTTTCCTATGTCCTTGGAGCAAACTGATTTCCCTGGAATTGGTCTTTTTAATTTAGGTGAAGAACTTCAGAGCTGATGAGCTTATGGAATTTTACAAGGTAAATCTTCACAAAGCTTATTTGTTGTGCTTACCTGCGAAGTTGTTTTATGAAGCAATCAGTATCTTGGTACTTCTGTCTGTACCTTCTGCACTTGTTTCTCCTAATTTTTAGATAGGATTTGACTACATATATTTCAATGGAGGGTTATAATAAATATGTTCTACTAACACGTAACAGTCAGATTTGAAGTTGAAGAAGTTCTTGCACATTATTGAGAATTCAAGTGTGTTCCCTGTCATTTATGACCGTAACAGGTAAGGGTGTTCTTGGTACTGTGCACCTGATTATTAGTTTTAGCCTTTGTGTTTTGTAATCAATTTCACTTTTAACTTAAAGCTGCTTAACCTTCTGCCGATATTTGCTCCTTTTCAAGTGTATATTTGTACAGTATGTCTTGTTAGGTTTAAAAATACTGAAATTCAGCTTGATGACCTTTCTGTTTTTCTTGTCTTTATGCAGAACTGTTTTGTCTTTACCGCCAATTATTAATGGTGCACACTCAGCAATCACTTTGAAGACAAAAAATGTCTTCATTGAGTGCAAAGCAACTGATCTAACAAAGGCTAAAATTGTTTTAAATACAATGGTAAGGAGTTGAGTGCTGTTAGCTTCTGGCCTCACCATTATAAGTGGTGGTAAGAATGAACATTTCTTTCTATCTACAGGTTACCACTTTTTCTACCTACTGTAAAAGGAAACTTGAGGTGGAACCGGTTGAAGTCATATCATTTGATGGAAACTCAAGTGTTCATCCAGATTTATCAGAATATAATATGGAAGTTCCACTATCATATATTACTGGTTCCATTGGAGTTCCTATGGAAGTAGATGAGGTAATGCTTCCATTTTCTTTATGTCTCTTATTTCTTTGTTATCTTTTATGTTATCCATATAGTTAAAATAATTGTTTAATGGAGTTCCACTCATGTTGGTCTGTTTTGATATTTCTATATGTTGTAAACTGGTATGGTTGTCTGAGTTTGTTCACCGAACTGCTCACTTATATAAAGGTGAGGAATAGCATTGAGTGAGGTTACATTAGTCTGATATGGTAATGGTCAGTGTCATGTATTTGTTTGTTTTGATGGCATCATTGGTGGCATTCTATTGCTAGCATTGTTCAGTTTATATGGTTTCATAACCAGAATGTTGTAGCTATTCTTAATATGTTCTTCCATTGTTGTCACTAAAAAGGTCACTAATCTATTAAAACGAATGCAATTGAATGCTGAAAAAGCAGGATCAGGTACTTCCTATATCATTGTGTCTGTACCTCCAACCAGAAGTGACATTCTTCACCCATGTGATGTTATGGAGGTAATGATCGAAGGAATAGTATTTCACGGATGCATTTTGAGGGGGAGGTTGTTGTGCACCTCCCTTGTGGGTTTCTGTTAATGAGGCTCTTTATTCTTGTTCCGAATGTTGCAATTGCTTTTAGCTATAATAATACCAAAGAGAAAGCTTTCATCTTTGAAGCCCCTCAGCTTGAACCAGCTCAGTGATCTTATAAGATCTGAGGTGCCTGAATACACCGAAGTAGTCTTTTTTATTGTAATTTTTTCTATGCCCTAATTGAGTTTCTTTTTAGATATCCATAAATGGGTCTATGGAGGTGTTGACATGGATTTTATGTTCTAAGAAATAATATTTTGAGATGTTAAATCGGAAGGATGACAAATCCACTGCTGTGGTCATTGGAAATCCCCGCTCTTCTGATTTTGAGGTTTGTATTTTCATGTTAGAATATATGTATAATATTATTTCAACATTTCAGCTTTCTGGGTTCCTCCCTACGTGTCTGTGCCAGAGCTGTAATCTTAGACTGCTTGAGAACTAGTATTAGTTTTTATGATTTTGTTCAACCTTTTTTTTTGTCAAGACTTCTTGAAATATTGTGCATGGCCTTATTTGCTACAATCAAATTTATTTTTGAAATGACTGGTACTGCTAAAATCGAACAGACAATTGAGGAGCCCATTGTTGCTCTCTATAGATAAGTGATAAACATTTGGTTTATTTGAAGGATGAGGGGGAAAAGGACAAGAAAAAAAAGAAATAGGAATTTGCTGTTCTGTTTTTTTTACTGGAAGCCTTTTATCGAAACTCCTAATTGAAGATTTCTTATTCTGTTTGCATAGGTGGTTCGTACAAGTCTCATGCCTGGCATGCTAAAGACCGCTGGACATAACAAAGACCATCCAAAGCCCATAAAGGTACAGTTTTGGTTTTGACTTGTTCAGGTTGAAACACTTGCAGAATTTAGTATTATGGATTTACTTTTTTGTATTGTGGCACCTTCTCTAATTTGTGTTTTTTCTGTTGCACATCTTTCATTGGAAGATGGTCCGTTCTGATTAAAAGCCCTTGGTCTTCTGTTCTGTTGGCATCATTCTTTCTTTTGAAAGACTGATGTTGGTATATGGAGGGGGACATATTTGTAGATATTCTTATGTTAGTTGAACCATTCTTTCATTGAGAGCGTCAGTCTTATACATTCCATGTCTCATCCTCTCCCAACAGGTGTTCAATAATGAACATGGGAATGCAAAAACGTTCCTGTCTATTATTTTACTATTATTCACTTGTTTTGCTTCTCAAATTTGACTTCATTCATCTTAATTTATACGATCACCCCTGCTTTTATATTTTGCTCATTTTTTTGGAAACTTTCACATGTCCAGATTTATGAAGTGGGTGATGTAGTACTTTTGGATGATAAGAAAGATGTTGGTGCATCAAACCGTCGCCTACTTGCTGCGTTATATTGTGGTGCTAACTCAGGCTTTGAAGTAAGATTTCCTTATTATGCCCGCTTGTTTTTGAATTTGATGACTCCATGCATTGATTTATTGTAGTCTTTAATTGCCAATTCTTGTTTCTGTAAGGACTGAAAAAATCTTTATAAAGTTGGTTATGGAAATCTTTAAATGATCAGAAATGACTTTCTGGTTCACTTGATCTTGATGGGTCATCCAACCCATAGAAGTTGGCGGTTTGTTGTAAAAAATCTGCTTGTTTGCTCTGTTCTAAAACCATGGTTAATTGTGCATTGTTTTTGAAGTTTTGTTTTATTACATGATGTAGTACATCGTTGAAGATTTCACAATTTTTGCTTTGTTATTTACGGGGAATGTACTAATGGTATGGATAGTCCAGAAAGGGAATATATGGTGTTCTGCAAACTATGAGTGTTGTTCAATTGTGTGTTCCTTATGCGTTGACTGAACTTAATGAAATAAGGACTTCTTGTCTACAGCTGATTCATAGCCTGGTGGACAGAATCATGGAAGTTATGGGGACTCCTTTTGTTCCGGTCGGTGATAAATCAGGATACTATATAGAGCTTTCTGATGCAAGTGTCTAGTTCTTTTTTCTCTATCCTCTTCTGTGCACGAGAGGGAGGGAAAGGACACGAAGGAAAAGACATGTTCTCCAACCATACTTCTAGTCAAGCTGTACTTAATGCATTTATGTTTACTGTAGGAACCCGAATTTCTATCGGGTAGGCAAGCCAAAATCATTTACAAAGGAAGGCGCATCGGCATTTTTGGTATCGTGTACCCTGAGGTATTGTTCTCAATATAAGAACCGTTGTGGTTTGAGGTTGTGTGTTCCCTTGATTCTTTTTCCAACCTTTTGTCAATTCCATATTTGTACATAGAGATGATTTTTGCTCCGTGTTGGTCTCCTCTTCTGTATTCTTACATATTAAAACGAATACTCAAAGCTACATCAGTAACAAAATATACATGACTTGAGATTGAAATTCCATGGTAAGATATACGTATCATATACATAATATATATGCTATTCGGTCATGTGGTGTGCAGGTGTTGAATAATTTCGATATTCCAGATCCCTGCTTCTTCTTGGAACTTGACATTGAGAACTTTTTATAGGACATGGTTCGTGTCAGCCGAAGTAAGTTTGCATTTTATCTTTTGCATGTTTTTACTACTGAAGATTCCAGTTTTATTATTATTCCCTCGTAACAGCCTTTTTTTATTTGCTTTAGAGTTTTATGTTTAAAGTACACCAAAGGGTCACTGAACTATGTTCGAATGAACTTTTTCGTCACTGAACTTTTAAAAGTTATAAATTTGTCGTTAAATTTATCGAACGAGAGTCATTGCGACATTATAATAATAATAATAAGTTAAATAAATATTATGACCATTTTGTACTGTTCAACAATTTTAATGACTACCAATTTTTTGCTTATTGAACAAACAGTTAGACCGGCTGCAGTTGTACTTGGCAAATTGAGTACTGTTTTTTTTTTTGGCTAAATTTTTTAGACAACAGCATTGAAATACTTCCATGTTTGGTAGTTTGCTATAGATTATGTTGTTTTACTTCAAAGAAATTACGTTTTGATGGCGCATTTTTTTATTTAAAATCAAAGCACATTAACCGATTTATTAGATAAATATTTTGAACTATAACGTTAACAAAAGCTTCGTGATTATTGAAATTTATGTTTATTAGATTGGGAATGGTAAAGAACTGTTCTTCAAATGCTCAACCAACAGTTCGATTATTTTTTGTTTCTCGAGTTAAGAGGTCATTAAATTCGTTCGTTAATCTAATTGAATTCGATAAATTATGATATTTTCTGCAACGAAGTAGCACAAAAAAAATGAAATGTCAAATCCGACAACGTATTATTAATACAAAAATTATGATTTCAGAGTTCATGATGTGTCTTTTTACAAATCAACTTAGAATATGTAACGAGTTTCATAATTTATCTCAAGAAAACATTTGCTGGAACTAAAAAAGATAACCGAAAACAAAACATATGTATATACGAATACATATATTCTATCTAACTCGACCCAAAGCCTGACATGATTTATA